ATGAGTTCAACTAATCAAATTACTTAGAGAATTAAATAGAAAGTATATATACAACATTTATGGATAAGGCGATGAGTTTTATTGACTCGTTAGGCTACATATGGTTGTAAGAATGATGATATCCTGCTTTGATGATGTCCGTCATACGAAAGACGACAGCTTAGCACGTTTTCACCGGAATCGAAGGAGATTGTTTTTGGAAGCAACTTCTTAAAGAATCTTCTGGTAAAGCAAATTGACAGCTGGTCGAATTGAATCTGCTCTCGTCTTCTGGTGGGTTTGACCTTCGAATCCCTTCATCAAACACTTATTGGTAATGGAAGTAAACTTAACATCTATGTCGTGTAAAGGAACATATAGATTGATGCTTAATTGAAGGGAAAAACGAGTATTCACTGACTGCTTAGCTTGACAAATTTATAAAACCGTCAAGCCAACGATTTAGAAAAAAACAGCCCATTTCAAAAGCTACGTACCAACTTCAACATATAGACATGTGCTTAGAATAAAATTTTAGCTATAAACATATTTAGCATATAATTAATTAATTAATTTAGCATAATTCTTTTAACTCTTGCCATTTGTAACTAGCCATTTATATCGATGCTATTATATTTGCTTCCCAGAATTCATAAGTTGGTAATATTGATAATCTTCTCATTGGGTCCCATTAATTTTTAAAAGTTCACCTCGGATGAATAATTATTTCAGAAACATTGGACGTTACAAATATTATAAAATCTAACCCTAACTACAAAAAACCTGCCAATTATTGTCTCTTTTCATACTCGGGATTAACTACATGTCCGCATCACTTCCGGTTCACATAGTAGAAGGAATGATCCAGTTTAACCCTCATTCTGAGGGTCACGGGAGCAGCGTCAGTGGACAGATGCTAACTACTGGGGCTCAGAGTGTCGAAGCCTTTGCCAAAGCAATACATTTCGAAGAGGGGAGAAGAGGATTCACGCAAGACCGGAAAGGTTCTCTTGGAGTGATCGTCCTGCTGGAGATGAGCTGGCTGGCCAACTCGAAGTCTCTAATGGACTCATGGACCTTTCTGGGGCGTTCAATAGGGTTGTTCTTGAAGGTGCTCTTCTAGTGCTTCGCATATACAGACTTTAAATGAAACCGCGAATGACAAAAGTCGTCGAATGAACCGGAGATAACAGTTTGGAGCATGACAGTTCGCCGAACTATGCCGCATACAGATTCACTTGATCTCCTTTTCATCTGGTAGACGTATAGACAGATCACTCGGCAGCCATATTGACAAGAATGCGACTGGATCACTAGTGGAGGATAAACGTGAACAGCAACGAATACAATTACCCATTCGACGTTGTCATTTACAATTGCATGCATGCGCTTTATTTACAGGAAATTGGCTGAAAAGACCTCATTTTATGGAGACTCAGTAGCTTAATGTTCGGAGCCAAATTCTCAGAACTAAACTTCCGAGCTGATTACAGCCCTACAATGATTCAACTTAAATAACATTGTTGACCTTACATTTGGCAGCATATCCCATTGTACACTCAAGCATGGGTGAAAAGCGGTTACTCCATGTTCTACTAACATGGAGCTAGTACAATTGGCTTTAATACCGCCGGCCAGCACACACATGCACAGGACGTGAGCTGAATAGGCCGCACTAAATGTCATAATAAAAAGCCAGTGAGTTCTTTTGCTGTGATAGCTTCAATTAGCCGTAGGAACGGTTGCCTACTTTGAGGAGGTCTGTCAAGTGGCATGGCATTTTATTTGAGAATCGGGTCGAAGGGATTTTTTGGTGCATTCATATTACATTTCTACAATTCTCCACCATTCACGCACTGTTGCAGGCGACTCTCAAGTCTCGACTTTAGTATTTCTGTAGGGTCCTTACTTATTTGGCTATTGCTATTTGGTAAAGCACAACATTACTACTGAAGAAGTTATATCTGGAGGTGTCAATTGTGCTTTGCCAAATAGTAAGAGCTTCGCTGAAGAGATTTTTAAAGAACTTTTTAACTTTACTGACCGATTAGCAGAAGAAACCAGAAGTGAGCTGGAAATACTGGTTGTTCCTCTAATTGACAACCATGTGGAAGCATAAAATAAGAATAAATATGTTAATTATATCACAAGGAAGCTTAGACAACACGAACAAATAGTTGTGAGGGCAGAGAAAAGGGGAGCGGTGGTAGTAATGGATAGGACCGATTAGATAGAAACGAGGATTCTGGCTTTAGCTGATGTTGATACGTATAGAATTATAACAAAGGACTCTACAGAAACACTAAAGTCGCGGCTTAAGAGTTGCCTGCAACAGTGCGTTAATAGTGGAGAATTGCAGAAATATAAAAATATATGTACTTCTCCAACGTGACATTGAACCAAAAAATCCCTTTGACCCGCCTTCTCAAGCGAAATGAAAGAAACATTAGTATCAATCTATTAAGGGATTCTTCGAAACCCAGCTTCTCGTCATAAGTAGCATTGCAAACGAAATTCGAGTACAGAGTCAACCAAAATGTTCCAATAAAGCCAAAAGTTAGGTAGATACACACTTACAAGTGAAATGGAAGTAAGCAAACAATAGTGCCATCTAGCAGAAAGATGAGATCGTATTTTGTAAGGTTTGTAAATTATTAGAAGATTATCCTAAAACAGTGGCCAAAAATAATTATATCCAGTATGAGTTGGCCTAGCAACCAATTAGTAGGCCTAACGATCCCGCAAAATCGCTCAGTCATTATACTCGATGAAATTACATTTATATTCAGCGCAAAAATGTTTCGAAACTAAGAATATTTTTTTTAGTAAGACCATTGTCACTTATAGCATGACTGAAAAAAAAATCCACTATCAGTTCCTAAATCACCTTAAACGATCTGGGATGACAAAGTACATATTTAGGAATCGCGGATAATTTTGAAGCATACTCATATTGAAAATAAGTAACGCCTTAAGTTGTAGCGGTAAATACATGCTTGCCCCTTCGGCACAACCAACATAAATGTGAATTGAACAAGGGCTGGTTTGCCATGAAAGCTCCATCTACCCGGTGACTAACTAGCGACCCTGGCTGTCTGGCCGAGCGGTAATATATCATTAAGATGCGAATGAGCCGACTTAGGAGCCTATTATCGGGCTGATATGGCAGAGACGAGGCCGAAATTACACTCTGCTCCGACGGAAAAGAACTGTTATTGAGAGAATCTAGGTGAAATTCAATGGAATGTTTTTCGTTTATAATTAGGCTCCCGACACTTCCCGTAGATCCGATATAAAAGCTGTGTTCACCCAACTTGGTTGAAGGCGATGAAGGACTGGTAGTTGAATTTTCCCAAAGTCAGACGAGTAGACATAACTCTTTCATTGAACTTTACATTGCATTGTTTCCCAAAAAGATATTCCCATCCAGGCAGGTGTGGACTGCAGTTTGAACTCGCCTGAACTGGTCTCATCAGTACATCCAGCGGGACTCGAACCCGGCTTGTGGTAGTGCAGCGCATAGTCTCAACACGTCAACCACTATGTCACATTGTCATGAATGCCTTTTGAGTTACAGGGCAGATGTGAATTTCAGAAGCCAGGCATTTTTCCACACACCATCCTGTGGTGGGTTAGTAAATGAGGCAAAATTTTATTTGCTATGGCAATCGACTATACTACTTATTT